GGCGGAAGAGGAAGTGAGGTCAGACTCTGCTCTGCTCCCGGAGAGACCGGACAACTCTGCTGGAGCAGGGATGCCATGCTCAGCTTTCCCAGGCAGATGCACGCAATGAAGCTCCTCCAATCCCGGATGGACTTAGGCTAGACTCTTCCCGGTAAGCGCACCTTAGGGTGCTTACACACATCATTAGAAATGGGCTAGACCAGGTGCGAGAATTAGCCTGTAAGGGCTAGAGTTCATGGGCCAAGCAGTTCTTTAAATGAATACAGTTTGTGTGTTGTTATTTCGGGCATAAGCTAGTCAAGCGGCCGGGGTGTTGGGGACGCAGCCCCGCCGCTCCTTATTTCAACAGTATCTGAAGCAAAGCAAGCAGTGGGTTCAGAATGGTGGTAGTTAACGGTATTCAGTTAAGACTGCTTAAGTTAGTGAAGATCTACATGTTTCCAATCTCCCATCCCTAAACAGGAGTCATCTCCACTTGGCATCTACTTTCAAAGGAAACATTTATTTTCTTCAATGGAAGGTTACTGGCTACATAAACCACACTTAGGAGTAGACCACATGCTCAGCAGTGCATGGCAACATAGAGAAAACTCAATGATGGTTTTGTAAATGTTTTTGTATCATAATGTTTGTGCATTTTTTAATCTGCCTAATCTTTTGCTTGGGTATTTCTGATTTTGTATTTATGGGTTATGATCTTGGATGTCTGTGTGTATTATGTTTTTTCCATTTTTTAAAATTCTGGTTTATTTGTTCTGCTTGTTTATTTTCTAAAGAAAAAGAGGAAGAAGGTGTGGGGCTGGGTAAGAGAAGAGGTGGGAGGATCTGGAAGGGTGAACTGTGGCCAAAATTTATTGCATGAATTTTCAATACATTTTTTGAAGATCTTTTTTAAAAAGATCTGTGTGTTTCAAAGATTTGTATGACATTCCAAAATAATATAATGGCTATTTCTTTGATGCTTTGTTATTAGTCGAAGTTGTATCACAGCAGGTTTTAATCTGTGCTTGATACAGAATCAATAATATGCTAATACTGTGGCAGAATTGCTGCGACGTGCTGTGTGCATAATAATCTTTGATAACTCAATAAATAAATGGTGTGTTCAATATGTTACTGTGATGAGCAATTAAAAGCATGCCTAGCACCTAGACTGGTACTGAGACACGAGTTGTTTCTAGTCCACTGAGCCTGTTTATCCACAGACTCAAGACAGAGATAAAGAAGAGCTGTTTTTAGCCAGCAAGGCAATTGAGGGCTAGTTCTCACAATGTTCACAAGTGAAACTCGAAGACAAGTGTCAGCTCTCACCATAAAGAGTACCATGCTAAGCTGTAAATACAAGTTCACACACCAGGAGCCACCAGGAGCCACCAGGAGCCAGGGCTTCATGTCTTGGTATAGGAAGCTCAAAGGAGAAGATCAAAATGTGGAGAAGAGATAGTAAGAGAAAAGGGCAGAGCAGAAAAGAGACACAGAGGACCGGTGAAAAGGCTTAGAGAAACAAATGTGAAATGTCTAGGATGCCTCAAAAGCAAGGCATAAATCAGAGATTCCAGCATAAACATCCTTGGTGGCTGAACGAACCTGAGCTACAGCAGTGATGGGGCGATCCTAGTCAGTTGTGACAGAAGTCAGAGTTAAACAAGGAGCGACTTACTCCCCATAGACCACAACCCACTGTTCACAACAACCTTCCTCAAAACTGTGTTCCTATGGGTGAAGAAATTCAAATATTGAGGCTAGACAAAGTTCTCCATTCCCAGAGCACAAGCAACTGCTTCAGCCTGCTGTGTAAGCCAGGCCATGCTAGAATTTTAGACAAATTGAGAAGTCCCTACTCTTACATAAGAATCAATGAAGCTGGTTTGCCATAAACCTAAACTGAGACCCTATATTACTGAATGTGCTTGTTTCTTTTTCTTTTAAGTCTCCTTATTTTAGTTTGCACAGATGGGGCCCTTCTAGGATCGGTTCTCAGTGATTCAGCCCTCTTGAGAAACCAAAATTCTTCTGCAATTTGTATGAATGCCATTAGTCCGTCTATTTTTAACTTTCTTTTTATTAACTCTTTGTGTCTTTCACACATGCATCTCCGTCCCACCTCCCGATCCTCTCACAACCATTGTCTGCCCTTGCAAACTCCCCCCACCCCAAATAAAAAAAGATAAAATTTAAAAGAAAAGAAAAAAACAAAGGAAAAATCGATCTCATCACAGAAGCTATAGTGTGACACAGTGAGTGCTACATCCTTACTTTAAATTTTTCATTACAAAAAGTCATTGGTCTTTTTCAAGACCTCTAGGGTTTTTTTTGTTTTTTTTTTTTTTTTTTTTTTTTTTTTTTTTTTTTTTTGCTACGCTGTCGATTCTGGGCCCTCATTCAAACTCCTCTTGGTTATTCTGCTGTTGCCGTGTATTGTGGAGATCCTGCAGCTTTAGGTCCTCAAGACCAGTCCCTTCATGTGTTCCAGTAGATCACTGGTGGAGTGGATGTTGGGGTGGGCCAACACGTAACTGTGGTTCTGAGTCTGGATAGTTGCAGGTTTGGTCAGCCCGCCAGGTCTTCCTTTTCCTCACCACCAGGGTGAGCTCTACTGCATTGCCCTGGTAAACTCACCCCTTGCAGTGATGAACCAAGGGTGGAGCCAGTTCTTCTGCTTTCCTGTCCTCAAGGTCCGTTCTCCCACACCTACACCTTCAGAACCAGCTCTACTGTGCTGCCTAGGTGTGGCATAGGGGCCACTAATCAACAGTGCTGCAGCTGATAAGGGGCAGCGACAGCTCTCCCACCCTTGGAATCTCAGGGTCAGTTCTCTCATTGATGGGGTGATCTCTCCACCACCCATGCTGCCACGTGATAGACGAGTGATAGGGACAACGCTCCTATGCTCGCTCACTCATACCTTCCTTCACCAAGGGTTCTGGCTCACCATAGTCCATCTTTAAGCCTGCACCCCCAAGTATATTTTTCTCTCATACACCCTCACCCCGTAGACACACACACATAGACACCTACACACATATACAGTTTAGTATGTATATGCAAAATTTGAAAAAAAAAACACAAAACCCAGTCCTTCTCTTAGCTAGAAGGTTAGATACCAGCAGGCTTGGAAATAGACCTTTCATAATCAGTACCTGCTTAAAAAAAAAAAAAAAGAAATAAAACTGTCTGACTCTGATTATTGATCAAAGCTATGAGATTCATAGATTCACCTTTGACCGTGGGTGAAGACTCAACTCTAAACTACTCAGAAGATCCTCAGATGATGTCTGCCCGTTGGCTTTCTGAACAAAGAACAAAGATGTGCCATTGTCACCAACCTCTTTTTTCTAATTCATTTCTTTATTTTATTTATTTATTTATTTATTCATTTATAAAAGATTTCTGTCTCTTCCCCTCCACCGCCTCCC